ATATATATAAACCTCTTTGCGCATCTTGGTTTCATGTAGATTATCAGAGCACCAAATTTTTATGTAAGATACATTGTTTTATTATGCTGGATTATACTAGTTTGTTATATGTATATTTTAACTTCGGCATGGCCGTCTGTTAGCCGCCCTGAGCTGTTGGATGGGGCGGGGTATAAATCCCAAAAATAAATAAATAAATAAATAAAATTAAAATACAGTTTATTGGCAGCATGTGGAGAAACATAAAAAAGGCACTTAAACACATCAACAAAGGCTCTACCAGCACATTCATCATAACTGTTTAAAACTGCTCTTGATATCCAGGCTAATGAAACAAAGATGAAAATACTTGACTGAACTTTACAAACACAGTGACAACCAAATGCAAAATGCGGTAAATGATCTCTGTCCTTTAAAATCTGGCTTCCAGGGAACACCCAAACAAAAATGAACTACCATGGGTTAAGAGGAGTTGACAAGGGGGCAAGGGCGGTTGAAATTCTCAATAGAATATCACAATCCTCTTTCACAGACCACACAGAGAGGGGAGAACCAGAAAGGCCACGACGACAACAACAAAACAAAAGCAGCCAGTTAAGCTGCAGAGCTCCCCCCGGTCCAAAACAGTGCAGTGGCACCTTTAAGACCAAGTTTTATTCAGGTACAAGCTCTTCCTCCTCTGCGAGGACAGATCTGCACGTGCCCCCCCCCCCCAGCTAGCAATCCAAAACAGTCCAGTGGAGCCTGAGCGGTGTGTGTTGCCTTCTGACACACTTCTGGTGATGTCAGGGTGTGTGGCATATGCAAATGAGTTATGCTAATGAGTTATGCTAATAAGCTCCTGCACCTATTTTTTTACGAAATGACCACTGGATACAGGTAACTACAGACCACTCAGCTTGATGTCTATACCCAGGAAGGTTTCAGAAGAAATCATCAGTCAGTCCTTGAGCACTTCGAAAGGACAGCTGTGATTACTAAGAGCCAGCATAGGTCGCTCAAGAACAAGTCATGTCAGACTAACCTTATCTCCTTTTTAAAAAGTTATTACCTTGTTGGATCAGGGAAATCATAGTTTATCTTAGTTTCAGTAAGGCTTTTGATAAGTTTCAAAATGATATTGGTTTGGATTCTATTAGTTAGGTGGATTTGTAACTGCTTGACCCAGAGTGCTTGTTAATAGTTCCTCATTCTTTTGGAGTGGAGTGCCTCAGAGATCTCTCCTGGGCCCTATATTGTTTAACATCTTTATAAATGACTTGGATGAAGAAATAGAGGGGATGCTCATTAAATTTGCAGATGACACTAAATTGGGAGAAGTAGCAAATACAGCAGAAGACAGACAGGATACAGGATGATCTTGACAGGCTGGGAAACTAGGCTAAAACTAACAAATGAATTTTAACAGAGTTCTGCATCTAGGTAGAAAAAAAATCAAATGCATAATTATAGGATGGGGGAGGCTTGTCTTGGCAGTTGTACTTGCAAAAGGATCTAGGGATCTTAGTAGACCATACACTGAACGAGTCAGCAGTGTGATGCAGTAGCTAAAAAGGCTAATGCAATTTTGGGCTGCATCAACAGAGGTATAGTGTCCAGATGGTATCACTTTACTCTGCTCAGACCTTGTTTGGAGTATTGTGTTCAGTTTTGGGCACTGCAGTTCAAGAAGGATGTTGACAAGCTGGAACGTGTCCAGAGGAGGGCAATGAAGATAGTGAGGGTTCTGGAGATCAAGTCCTATGAGGAAAGGTTGAAGGAGCTGGGTATGTTTAACCTGGAAAGGAGATTACTGAGAGGTGATAGGATAGCCATCTTTAAGTATTTGAAGGGCTGTCATATAGAGGATGAAGTGGAGTTATTTTCTGTACTCCTGGAAGTCTGGACCAGAACCAATGGATTGAAATTAAATCAAAAGAGTTTTTGGCTAAACATTAGGGTGATCTTCTTGACAGTTAAAGTGGTTTCTCAGAGGAACATGCTTCCTCAGGAGGAATGCAGGCAGATCATGAGGGGGAGGGCAGCAAGGGATGAATGACTGCTCTGCTCTCGTGGCCCTTTTTTACATGCCCAGGGTAATGCCTATCACTACTTTGGGGTCAGAAAGGAATTTTCCTCCAGGCTAGTTTGGCCATGGATTCTGGAGGTTTTTGCCTTCCTCTGGGTATAGAGCAGGGGTCACTGGGGGAATGGATGGTGGTGGAAGGTAGTTGTGGATTTCCTGTGTTGTGCAGGAGGTTGAACTAGATGACCCTTGAGGTTCCTTCCATCTCTGTTTCTATGTTTTATATCTGCTTGAGGTTCCTTCCATCTCTGTTTCTATGTTTTATATCTGCTTCATGATTTAGAGTCAACTATTTGGATGACAGCTCCAAAAGATACATCAGTTTCCTACTAGCATCTTAAATAACCATAACTTTACATCTTTACTTGAAGTTTGCTACTGCTCGCCAGCATAATTTTAAAAGCCCAAAGGGTGTGTATACATGAGACATTGATTTGATTTAATGGGTAGGGCATACAAATTGGGATATCATTAATCTGACTTTTTTTTTATTTTCAGCATTAATGCACAGGCTGCATAATTTTAAAGACAGCATGAAGTGAATAACATACAGCTCCAATTAGTTCTTATTCCCCATTTAATTGCAAGTAGGGATTATCAACCATGGAAATGGGTTCCAGTTTTCCTTCTCTCTTTTCCTTATATTCTCTCCCTTAGGCTATTATCTTGGCATTTTCTGTGTAACAGTATAATATATACAGCAAACAGTGCAATAAAGCTGGATTACAAAATTAGAAAACAAAGCAGAAAGCAATGAAAGCTGCCTAAGATTCACAGATATTAACTACAACCCTCTTCCTTTTATAAAAACACCCTCCAAGGGTGGATTTGATTTAAATCACTAGTCAGTAAAACTATATTTAAATCATGGTTTTCTACATAAAGATTCATTCTTGCTTCTATAATATTAATATTTACAACCAGATGAAGGTTTCATTTTTAGAATAACCATTTTTCAGATTAGTTTTACAGTTACATCAAAAATTACTGATTTTATACTATTAGAAACACATCATAGATAATTATGAAATTATTACGAGGCGAACTGTCTCCAGTTTAATAGGTTAATCATTCATATTTGGACAACTTTTCTGCTGTACTTTATTGGAAGGAGAAAAATAATCACTATCTTATTAATAACAATTTAAAGTTATATTTAACTAAAACAATAACATTATAGCTCTGTCTTACACACTCTGTGGAATGGTAAGGGCGTCTTTCTGACCTTATTTGGTAGACCATTAGACCAAGTGGGTTACACAGCCTAGAATGTTTGGGTACAGGCATCTGTTTGGATAAGCATAGCATGAAATTAAAAATTTCAGTAGGTCAGTCAAATATAAGAACAGTTGATTAACATACAGTATATTGGGCTGGGTCCATGAAGATTCAGTCTTACGCAATTTCCCTCCATGCCACATAGCTTTTTTGTACAAGCACACCCTGTGATTCTCTGCATTGCATTTTTGGGTGGTCGAAGGAGCAGTCTGTATTTCCTTTTCACTGGCAGAAAATCTTGTTGGATCCAGCCTATTATATCAGTTATAGTATTTTACATAAGTTATAACAATCTGAGGACCACTTATAAATAGATTTGTCTTTCAAAGCGCGTGCCAATTTTTTGGAGTCCACAAATGATGAAAGTGAATCCATTTTTCTATATAGTTTACTAATATAAAAGGAATTTTATGTGGCTTTCTGAAGTTATTTTGGAACAAGGTGTTCACTTGCTTCAGAGCTTCATGCACAATTTATGACCCCAGCCATATTGAGGCTGATGAAATACCTATTTAAGTGCTTGAATATGCAGTATTTTTACTCTTGCAAGTGATCACGATGTAGCCTATACAGTAGTGGCAAATGCTGCATATGTATGGACCCATTTCATAAGTGATGAGCCTTCAATGTTATGCCAGCCACATGGAGCATCTACATATTTAAGGTGGCCATCCTGTGTTACCTGGAAGTAAAACCAAGTGAGTAAAATGTGTGTCTTTTTCGGAGTGAACGAGCCTAGGATTTCATTGCAAGTGCTTTCAAGCAGCTTTCACATAACCAGCTGTATGCAAATTGATCTTTCTTTTCTGTATTGCCACCTAAAAGCAGAATGTGTGCAACGATGCAGTTGAGCAGCAAAAATTGTGGATCACAAAGCCTTTTTGTAGGTGCAAATCTAGAATATCAGCAGTATTATTGCCTGTTTACAAATTAGACCGTCTAACGTCAAAGAGGAGTTCAGCCAGTTTCTTAATTTGTAATCATTTTACCTGCCTATTGTTTTTACTATGCGATCTGCTTCAAATAATTAGAATATTAAGCGCATACGAACAATCATATTCACGTTTCCAAGAGTACAGTATATCCTATTATTGAACTGCCCGGTGCCTTAGCTTGGTTGTGATGAAGGCTGAACACCTACTCCAAATTCTTGCAAAACTGTAAGTGGACGGCGAGGGGTTTTACCCTGACGGCTTGGTGTGCCCAACGAGGCAGAGAGCTGCGGCTGGCAAGGAGCAGCATGGGTACGGCGGCGGGCTCCTCCTCTCCGGCTAAACCGAGTCCGGGGCCAGTGAGGAGAACAGGCGCGGCAAGAACTTGTGTCAGGAGGAGCGCGGTAGCGTCTCCTTTCCCTCCTGGCCACTTGCTGGCACTCCATGAGGAGTGGGGTTCGCGACGGAAGGAGCCCCTCCTTTGGCAGGGCCGTCTGGGCCCGGTAGTCCACCGCTACCTAGCAAGTTCAGCTTTGGAGTCACTCAGGCGACGCTCTCTGCCCCCTTCTTCTTCGCGCTCTGTCTCCCCCCATCAGCCCCCCCCCCCCCCCAGTTCCGTCCGGTCCTCCCGTTATGAAGTACGTCAACACGCAGAGCGGCAGCGAACGCTGTTGCTAAGTGACGTCATCACGCAGGTCGACGCGTGAACGCGACAGCCGGCGGAGTGGGATCGTGGTAGAGCGCTCCAGCCGGTAAGTCTGGTGGATGAAGTGGGGGAGGGGGGCTCCTTCGGCACCTCGCTTGCAGGGTCGCGCGCTCATTAAGGAATGGGGGAGGGGCAGTTGTAACTACTTCTCCCGTGTCTGGAGCGCCTCGCCTGGCCCTCTGCCGCCTCTGAGGTTTCTTTGGGTTTTGCGAAAGGGGGGGGCGGGGGTCTGGTTGTCGGTCACTCAGTGGTCACGTGAGCCTGGGTCGCTCCATCCAGAGTCAGTGGGAAGGGGAAGTGTGCGCCTTCTGGGGCGGCCGGAGCACTAGCTTGAACTAACGGCCCTCTATAGCTTTGCAGCGTGCGGAACCGGAGGAGGGGCCGCAGCTGTTGCCCTTTTGCAGCTAGCGGATGGCGAGGGATGCCCAAATTCAGTCCACGGGAAAAACAAAGCTACGGGATTCCGTTGCTCCTTTGAAGCCCTTGCCTCTGCAGGAGAAATCGCTTTGGGGCAGTGTGACTTTTCTCCAAATTAAACTTTGAGCTGCGAGCTGCTTCTTTTACACACACCTTCCTCCACTTCCTTCCCTGCCTTCCATCTTTTACCATTTTCAGTCCCGGCCCAGGACCAGATTGGCCATTATAGTTTCCAGGTAAAGTCTTGCCAAGTTGTGAAATAAAATAGAAGTTGATTGGTACCCCAAAACTAACATTTATTGTTATATAAGTCAGGTGGTGACTTGCATGAGTGAGTCGAGCCACTATTGGGCCTGGTCAGGTTGTGCAAGTTGCATAGTAGTCACCTGGGTCCAGTTGTGCAAGTTGCATGGTAGCTAGTTGTCTGGGCATCTTGCATGGTGGCTGCTGCTGGGCCTGGCAAAGTCGTGGAAGTTGCTTGGTAGCAAGTTGCCCCATGAGAGCTGTGCAGTGGCTGTCCTGGGCTCAGCTGAATTCTGTAGTGGCAAGCAGTGTTCCCTCTAAGCTAAGATAATGTGAGCTAGCTCACAGCTTTTTAGCCTCCGGCCCACACATTTTTTGTCTTAGCTCAGGAAGGGATGGCTCCAGAGCAACCTAATTTATGCTGCAGCCAAATGGCTCGCTCTCAACTTTAATGCCAGTAGCTCACAAAGTAGAGGTTTTGCTCACAAGACTCCACAGTTTAGAGGGAGCATTGGTGGCAAGTCACTCGGGTGAGTGGCATGGTAGCCACTGCTGGGGCTGGGTGAGTCAGGTAGGGGCAAGTCATCTGGATGAGTGGGGAGGCCTGCTTTTAATATTGTTTCAATTGCTTGCTGCCTTGGGAAACCTAAGTGAGGTGGACGGGCAACATCAAAATAAATAAATAAATTGCTCTCCTTTATGTAAAATCAGTGGGATATATCATCATATTCTTTTCAGACAGTCAAAGTTAGATGTGAATAATTATATTTTAATAAAAAATAAATGGAAACAAAGATTCTGTAAGAATATTTACTTGTGTACTAAGTCCCAGAAAAAGCATTGTGGGTGTATCTCTTGACAAAGGGTAAAAGGTCTGATGTGGGTACACTGACAAGGAGCTCAGAGGGCCCTTAAGAGTACCCAGGCCAGGCCCGACAAGAATAATCCAGACAAACAGGTGATTGAAACTTTGAGCCAAGGTTTTTGCTTGCAATACATACTGCTTGTTGGACCCTTTATTACTTCAATCTACGACTCTTCCATAGAGTAAACACTGAATGGGAACCAGTGTGTTGAGCAAGTTAAAATTTATATGAATAGACACATCTGCACTGTTGGCACAAATATTTGTCTTCTGTGGCTTCATATAGAACAAAGCATGGTTCTTCAAAAAATTAAATAATATCTTTAACTTCTTGTATTGGGGGGGTTGGTGGGATGCTAGAATAACCAGTATGTGAACAGAATGGCAGAAAATATTTTAAAGATGCCTAATAGAATGGAAAATGATAGAAGTGAGCTGCTGCTAGTAATTCAGGTGTAAACCATGTGTGGAATTATGCCAGTACACTAAAACAATTATTATGAGGCCTTGTGTGTTACTTCCTAATAAAGAAGAGAAGAAGAAGAAGAGATTGGATTTTTACCCCACCCTTCACTACCCAAAGGAGTCTCAGAGCAGTTTACAAACTCCTTTCCCTTCCCCTCTCCACAATGGACACCCTGTGATGTAGGTGGGGCTGAAAGAGCTTTGACAGAAACTGCTCTATTTCAAGAACAGCTGTGCCAGAACAATGGCTTGCCCAAGGTCATCCAGCAGGTGGAAGAGTGGGGAATCAAACCCGGTTCTCCCAGATTAGAGTCCGCGCACTTAACCACTACACCAAACTGGCTCTACACTAAAGAATTCTCAACAACTAGTATTTGGGCTGCAGAAGCTTTATAGATCATCATGTCTGTAACATTAAATAATATATTTTCTGTTATGGAAATGGCCTTTGTCATACTGGCAAATTGATGATCTGGTGCTCTGAATTTTGACCTATTTTGTCGCTTTAATGGAAGAAGGTTGCTGACTCCTGCTATAAACGAAATGCTACTTATTGTGTTTAACAGACTATCCCAGAAGGGCTCAGCATAAGCAGGGGTTCTGTGAAAGAATTTGTTTGGCAGCAATCTGCAGGAGTGCTGGGCCTATATAAACTGTTTCAAACTGTATCTGAAGAAGTGAGCAGTGACTTAGGAAGGTTCATAACCTGCCACCAGTTTTGTTAATCTTTAAGGTGCTACTGGACTGTTGCTCTTTTCTACTATATTAAACCAGGGCAGGATAATTCTGGACCTAAATGGACAAGTTAAGTATTACATTTAGTTAAGTATTAAATTTTCCTTTCAAGCCAGGTTGTCTCCCCTGAAGTTCTCAGTGCTGTTAAAAATATAAGCCATTAAGTTAAAGGAAGGGTGTGTGTTGCTGCAACTATACAATACTTAGATTTTAGTACAGTTGGAACAGATCAGATTTAACGACTTAAGACACACACACACAGAGAATCATACAGAATGACAGAACGTAATGGCTTGCACTGACATATTTGGCTCATGGCTCTTAAAGCACACAGGCCAAAAAAGAGCTGTAATACAGACATCTGACAGTGCTTCTGAAAAGTAGTGATACTCCCTGCTGCTTGATACTTTAGGAGGAAAAACAAGATGATGTTACAGCTTTGTTGGCAGGCATCACAGCAAATGTTGGCACTACTCCAAGCAACTGAGGTTCTCCCTCTTATTGATAGGATGCAAGCAGGGCTTGTTCTGATGAGTGCAACAGACACGGAGATTGCCCAAATGTGCATAAACAGCACGGTCAAGCAGGAGAAATTAGGAGAGATGTTCTTACTTTTGCTTTGTGTTCTCTGAAGAGTAGATAAGAGCAGAGTCTGTAAATGTCTCCTTTCTACATCTTTTCTCATTACCATATCTGCTATTCCTTTCACTTTAGTCTGAGCCTTGGCATCTCTGTTCCATCTTACCAAAAGCTATGCTAGACAGTAAGAGTTTGTGCCATAGTGGTTTTTGCCTTCTTTCTATACAGTCTTGGACCTGTACCTGTCATAATGTGTGTGTGCTGTACTGCTGGTGGAAAGCTGCCAGTATTGTACTTCTCATTGAGAATACAGCCTTAACCCTGGACTAATCATCAAAAAACATAGTGCGTACTATCACACCTGAGTCCTACTTATGACTTTTCCAAACAGAACAGGTTTCTGGTATGCTGAATGAAAAGGAGAATGGCTTTGACTTCTTATATTCAATTGGGCATTTTTTGTTTTGTTTTGTGATACGTTGCAGTTGTAGTTTTCCAGCAAATTAATTTATTGTGATTTACATCCACTGTGCATATTAAAGCAAGCAACAGTGTAGGAAATATACTCTACTAACAGCTTTCTATTCTATCCATGACATAAATTGCGCTTGTTGGGAAATGAATACGTAGCTTCATTTTTCTTGGGTAATTGGCTGGAAGAGCAAGCCATGCAGAAATGGCATGTTTTATTCTTGGTGAAAAGAGATGATTTGTAGGCAATTGTTGTGGTTAACTACAAATGCCCATTTCAAAATATTGTGTGGCAGCAAGTCAGCAAATCCTTTGCTAAACAGAGGAGGACGACGGAAATCCTTATTTCTAATAATTTGCTTTTATATATTACACTTTTTGTTAACAAATTAACTGTATGCAACAAGTTGTTGCTGGGTACATATTTAAATTAAATATTGTGATGTCTAGAAACCATACACTGTAAGCAAATGTACTACATATTTGTGCCCTGATTTCTTGACCCCTGAATTCTTTGAAACTACTTGAGAATTAATGGTTTTGTCACTGACTCTAGAAGTTGTCCCTAGAGTCAGTGATTTTGAAGGTGAAAGGTAAGATAATGTTAGGCATTCTGTTGACTTAGGAGTACTTTCAGTTTTAGCCCTGTGTCACATTCTCTTGGGTGTTCACCCATTGCTTAAGGCAACACTAGAGGATGTATATAGATCCAGGCAGGCAGTCGTGTTGGTGTGAGTTTGAGTTCAGTGGCACCTTTTAAGACCAAGAAAGTTTTATTCAAGGTATGAGTTTTCATGTGCACACACACTTCTTCAGATACATTGAAAGAACTGTTAACTTCCATTTCAGTGTGAGGAAGTGTGTGTGCACCCGAACGCTCATATCTTGAATAAAACTTTGTTGTTGTTGTTTTAAATTTTTTTTTAAATTTTTAACTATTCTGACACTTCAAACAGTGAACAATTAATCTTCCAATTACATTCACATCCTGTAAATAGTTCCTGAGTATGTACAACGTTATAACATGTTCAAAGAATTACAATACATTACTCATCACACTTCCGAATATGTTTTCAGTAGAAAGATAACAGACTTGGCGTAAACTTAATAGAAACATTAGGAAGCAATCTGAACTATTGGAGCGGTAAGAAAGAGAAGAAAGAAAAGGATACTTCTATTATCAACTTACAATAACAATTACTACATATCATTCGACCATTTGGAAGATTTTATGTGAAATATTGGAGCTAGTGGAGAAGAAATAAGTAAAT